TCAATTCTGAATGATAGCTTTGCTGGGTAAAGTAATCTTGGTTGTAGGTTCTTGCTATTCATCATTTTGAATATTTCTTGCCACTTCCTTCTGGCCTGTATAGTTTCTGTTGAGAAATTAGCTGACAAGGGCGCTCTCTTTCTCTTGCTGCTTTTAGGATTCTGTCTTTGTCTTTAGCCCTTGGCATTTTAATTTGATGTGTCTTGGTGTGGTCCTCTTTGGGTTGCTCTTGTTTGGGACTCTTGTTTGAGTTTCCTGGACTTGTAAGTCTATTTTTTTCACCAGGTAGGGGAAGTTTTCTGTCATTATTTCTTCAAATAAATTTTCAAATATCTTGCTCTCTCTCTTCTTCTGGCACCCCTATAATGTGAATGTTGATATGCTTGAAGTTGTCCCAGAGGCTCCTTACACTCTCTTCATATTTTTGGATTCTTTTTTTTTTCCTCTTCTGATTGGGTGTTTTTTGCTTCCTCATATTTCAAATTGTTGATTTGAATCCTCTACTGTTGAATCCCTGTAAATTATTCTTTGTTTCAGTTAGTATATGCTTAATTTCTGAGTGGTCCTTTTCCATGTCTTTGGAATTCTCACTAAGATCCTTGAAAGTCTCACTAAGTTCCTTGAAGACCCTTGAGTAACCTTATAACTATGGTTTTGAACTCTGTATCCAGTAGTTTGCTTTCTTCCATTACTTTCATTTGTGTTATGTTTCTTTGTCTCTGCATTTTGGCTGCTTCCCTGTGTGTGTTTGGGTAGAGCTGCTATGTCTCCTGGAATTGGTAGAGTGGCCTTATGTAGTAGGTGTCCTATACAGCTGTGTCTCAGTCTCTCCAGGCACCTGAGCTGGGCCCTCTAGGTGCACCTCTGTGGGCTGTGTGCAGTCTTGTAGTTGAGCTTTGATTGCTGTTGGCATCACTGGGGGGAATTGACTTCCAGGCCAATTGGCTGTGAGGACCAGCTGTGGCTACAGTGGGAGAGCTGTGCAGGAAACACCCTTATGGAGCAGGACTTGCTTCAGTAGGGCTTTGGTACTCACTGAGTCTGCCCCTTGATTGTGTCGCTTGTGAATATATAGAGTTGTAATCTGGTATGTCTGAGGCTGTCCACTGGGTGCACTGGCTCGAGGGCCTTCAGGAAGTTGCAAAATTAGCCACTTCTGAGGGCCACCCAGCAGGAGCTACAGAGAGATCTGCAGATGGCTGCTGTTTGTATTGGGCTAAGAAGTGCCCAGGTGAGGCCCAGCTGTGAAGCAAGGTAGGCTGGTACTAGTGCCAGGTCTTGGGCCTTTTACTGATAGATTTGGGGCACCCTGACACCAGCTGAAGCTTGTTTGAGAGATTTTAACAAAGTCTGAAGTCTGAGCCAGGACAGGCCATTCATATGGAAAAGCTGCTGCAAACAGCTTGGGTGGGGTTGCAAATTAGATGGGGCGGGGTCTCAGAGAATCACCACGGTGGAGCAAACAGTGTTCTCCAGGTTGATGGCGACTCAGATATGGTTGCCAGTCAACCCTGGGACAGGGGAGGTCTCAGCATAGGACCAATGACCCCTGTGAGCACCTCCATCTGTTAGAAGGCCGCCCCCAAGTTCCTGCCCTGATGCCAGACAATCCAGTTCCTCCTAGTATGTGTCTGGGTTCCCCAGTGACTCAGGGCACTGGATCTCAGAGGAAGTGAGTCCAAGTAAGTTTGTGCCTGGCCCTTTAAGAGGAACACCTGGGTCTCCAGCAGCCTCCGTGTCCTACAGCCACAATCCTCACTGGTTTTTACAGCCCGAAGTTACGGGGATTTCTCTTCCTAGTTCTGGGACCCTGGGCTGGGGGTCTGGTGTGGGTCTGGGACCCCTTGCTCTTCATGGTGTGTCAGCAGGGACAATCTGCCTCTGGATTAAACAGATGGCCCATGTGGGTGCCAAAGCAGCCTATTCCACCTCTCCACCCTTCCTACCAGTCTAGTTGTAGGGCTGCTGCTGCTTCTTTTTTTTTTTTTTTTTTTTTTTAAGAAATCTCTCTCTCTTCTTTTTTTAAAAATATATTTTATTAATTTTTTTACAGAGAGAAAGGGAGAGGGATAGAGAGTTAGAAACATCAATGAGAGAGAAACATTGATCAGCTGCCTCCTACACACCCCCTACTGGGGATGTGCCCGCAACCAAGGTACATACATGCCCTTGACTGGAATCGAACCTGGGACCCTTCATTCTGCAGGCCGACGCTCAATCTACTGAGCCACACCGGTCAGGGCAGGACTTTTTTTTTTCCTCTAGTGGTAGGACTTCCATTCAGCCAGCTTTCAGGCAGTTCTGGATGGTCTGCATTTTAGCTGTAATTTTGATGTGGTTGTAGGAGGCAGTGAGTACCGGCGTTTACCTATACTGCCATCTTTTTTACCACTTCCTTTGGACCTCCATGGTATCTGATGAATAATGTGAAGTGATTTGAATTATTTTTTTCCCATATAAATAATGCATTTTTCTCTGGTTGCTTTCAAGATGTTTTTCTGTCTTTGGTATTCAGCAGTTAGATTATAATGCGGCTGGGCATGTATTTCTTAGTATTTATCTGATTTGGGGTTCACTAAGCTTCTTGAACATGTAGTTTTGTGTGTTCCACCAAATTTAGGTTGTTTTCAGACATTATCTTTTCAAATACTTTTTTCAGTACCATACTCTTACTCCAGTCCTTTTGGGACATGAATCTTAGAACTTTTATTAGTGTCTCACAAGTCCTTGAGGCTTTGTTCAGTTTTTCTATTTTTTTTCTCTCTATTGCTCAGATTGGATAATTTCTGTTCATCTGTCTTCAGTTTCACTGACTGTTTTCTCTAGCATTTAAAAAAATGTTTTTATTGATTTCAGAGAGAGGACAGGAGAGGGATAGAAACATCAATGATGAGAGAGAATCATCTATCGGCTGCCTCCCACACTACTAGGGATCGAACCATGACCTGGTTCATGGGTCGACACCCAACCACTGAGCAACACCAGCCAGCCAGACTTCTCTGGCATTTTTATTCTGTTATTAAGTGTTTTAATTTCTGTGATTTTTAAATTTCAGTTATTGTTCAGTGTTAAATTTCCATTTTATTCTTTACACCTATTTATTTGCTAAGACTTTGTTTTTCTGTTTATCATAAGAGCAGTCATGATTGCTTGTTGGAACATTTGTATAGTGGCTACTTTAATCTTTTTGTTTTTGAATTGATTTCAGGTAGGGAGAGAGAGAGAGAGAGAGAGAGAGAGAGAGAGAGAGAGAGAGAGAGAGAGAGAAGAAACATCAATGATGAAAGAGAATCATCCATCGACTGCCTCCTGCATACACCACACTGGTGATCAAGCCCACAACCCAGGCATGTGCCCTGACTGGGAATCGAACCATGACCTCCTGGTTCTTAAGTTGATGCTCAACCACTAAGCCACACCAGCCAGGCTAGTTGCTTTAATCTTAATCAGACAATTTCAACATTTGTGTCATTTTAGTACTCTGTCATCTGTTGTCTTTTCTCACATGAGTTGAGATTTTTCCTGTATATTTGTATGTTGAGTAATTTTGTGTTGCATTTAAACATTTTGAATAGTATGATATGAGATTCTGAGTCTTAATTTAAATCCTATGAAGAATTTTGATATTTTTTTAGCAGGCATTTGACCTGGTTAGGTTTAGGCTACAGGTTCCGACCCACTTTCTGTGGGCCAACCCAGTGCACTTTTCAAAGTCTTTGTGATACTATTCAGATCCATCCATGTGTGTACGATCCTCCGGTCAGTCTATGACCTAGTCCTAAGCAGTGGTTTATCTGTTAATTCAGTTTTATAAACACCTTCATGTTGCTTTCCTGAATCTCTCTCCCAAGTGCTTTCTGTTTTTCTGAGGCTTCCCTTTTCAGTCCTCTGGCCAAAAGCTGGAGGTTTAGTTACCCCATTCTGTCATGCACTTCCCTGAATTTGCATCCAGGGCCACCTTACGGAGGGCCAATGGAAAAAGGAACAGGATTACTCCACCCTCTTGAGACCAGAGCTCCTCTGATCCTCAAAGAAGGTTCCTTTTCTAAGTTTTGGTTCTTGCCACCCTGCTGCATCAGCCTCTGTCACCAAGGCCAAAGGGTTGCTTAGGAGCTGAGATGAGAGAGAATGAGCATTAGGAGTTCCTGTTCCTACTCCTTGAGCCCATACTAGAGGGCTTTTCCTGGGGAGCACACTCTCTCTGTGAGCCTTAGTGCTCAGTTCTGGGTTTTAGGTGGCACTGCCTTCAGGCTGGCGGTTACTAGAGGGGAAGAAAGTGTTAATTCTGGTTATCTGCATTCCACCGCCTACTATTTCCATTTCAGAGTCCTTGTATGGTGCTACATGCAGTGTCCAGGTTTTATGTTGAGTTCAGTGGGAGAGAAGGGTGGAGTGATCTCCTTACCTAGAACTGGAACCCCCGAAGAAGGATTTTAAATAGGGGAATAACATGGTCTGAGTTGCTTTTTACTTTGGTCTTTAAAGTGTATTTTTTAAAAATATACTTTTATTGATTTCAGAGAGGAAGTGAGAGGGAGAGAGAGCTAGAACCATCAATGATGACAGAGAATCATTGATTGGCTACCTCTTGCACGCCCCCTTCTGAGGATCGAGCCCACAACCTGGGCATGTGCCCTTGACTAGAATCGAACCTGGGACCTTTCAGTCTGCAGGCAGTCTGTCTACGGAGCCAGAGTGGCTAGGGCTAAAGTGTATTTTTTAATGGATAATATCTTAAATGCAAAAGTATTACATGTTTAGTGTAGCAAATAACACAATACATAAATGCATAAAGTGAAATCATTTACCCATTCAACACCACCCCCACCAAATCCCCTAAAATAAGTATTTACTTGCTTGGCATGCGTTGTATTCTACTTGTGGGCTTGTGTGTGCTAGTGCGCATACACACACACACACACACACACACACACAATTTCTTTCTTACAAAAATGAAATTACATTGTTCTACTTTTTTTTTTCAGTACACAGATTGATTGATCTCATTCTTTTTTTTTTTTCTTTTTTCATGGCATCCTTGCACAGGGGCCATGCCAATCTTCTCTGTATTGTTCCAGTTTTAGTATATGTGCTGCCAAAGTGAGGACGGCCTCGTTGTTTTTAATGGCTGCAGAGTATTCTATGCGGATAGACTACTATTTAACAATGCTCTATTGATACAGATTTAAATTTTCATTTTTGTTTTTGCGATTAGAAATAGTGTTACATAAATAATCTACTTTTTTACCTAATAGAAACACTTGATCAAATTAAGAAAGCTTTCTTCTATTTCAGACTAAGAGCATTTATTTGTTGTTTGTTTTTAATCAGGAGTGGATTTTAATTTTACTATTCCCTTAAGGTATCTATCCAGATGATCCTTTTTTTGTATGATTTGCATTTTAAGAAAGACCCTGATGAGTATGTGGAAGATTGACCTGGGGACAAGGGGAGGCTGGCAGCAGGGACCAGTGACAGCCTCTTAGATGCCGGGTGCTGAAGGCTGGAACTGAAGGTGGTGATGGAGAGGTGTTTTGGAGATACAGTCAGCTAGACCTGTTGACTTATTTGATAAGGGAAATTAGGAGGAGAGGGTGTGGAGGAGAGTCTATCAGTCAATTTTGGTGATCATCTCTAGAGTGCTCGTTAGGTGGCTTTGAGTCTTTTGTACCCTATGAGGCCTGTGAGGTATTTCAGCCTGGAATTTCCTAGAAGGCAATGAAAGAAGTTCAAGTGGACCCAGACCCAGGGGGACTGATGGGGGTACAGTGCAGTAAGTTGTGGGCAGAGAGGCAGAGCCATAGTGGGCTGAGGAGAGGCCTTAACTTACCAGCTTCGTCACCACCACCCCCTACCCACCACCTTCAATCTGTATTTGCTTCTAGCTTCAAGTTTGGAGAGTCAGTCATTTGTGATGCTGCCCCCCAGTGATGAAATGGTGACTAATCTGGAAACTCTGACACACAAATGCCTCCATGGGAAGAACTACTGCCGACGGGTCCTCTGTCTGTATGAACTTTCCAAGGTAGTGCCAAAGGGGCGGGGGGGGGGGGGGGGCCTCCAAAGGAACCTCCCTCTGAGAGGGAGGGAAGCGTGAAGCTCGAGGGAGATTTTGCACATTGCTAAGTCAGCCCATTAGATGATGATCGTGACCTGGGAATAGAGCTCTTGTCAGGATACAAATCATTTCTTGGAAATAATGGGGAGGATGCCCACCCAAGTGCCATGGTGACTTGAGTCCTGGCTGCAGCTTAGCCAACCAGAAATTAGAGCCAGACATTTCACTTCTTTAAACCCTAGTTCTTGATCTATAAATGATTTGACCACAAGAGTCCCTTCCAATCTTAGGTCTTGCTTCAGGAGCTTTCCTTGTCAGGGGCAGCCCAAAATAAGTTTAGAATAAAATAAAATGGAGTATGATGACCCTAAAGACAGGAGCAGTACAGCCAGGAACTGTTTGTGGCTTTGTGCTGACTGAAGGAGAAAAACAGTAGATGCTGAGTGCAGAGGGAAGAGCACGGGAGACAGAGTGGAGCAGTAATGCCATTTGCCTTGGGTAAGGTTCAGAGGCTTCCTTGGAAATGGAGGGTTATGCAGCTGTTGTGGGAACAACACGGAAAGGGCTCTTACCTTTTATTCAACTTTCTCACATTGTATAACATTTGAAAAACTCAGTGTTCAATACAAGATAAGTCACCTGATGCTTTTTGAAGACAAGACTCTCTTCCTTGGATCCAGCTCGTTGGTGAAGTGGTGGAAAGAACTGGAATACAGTGCTTGCTTCTTTTAAGGTTCCTGCTCATGGCAAGCAATGCAGCCTGTCCACATCAGAATTCAGAAGGGGCTAGCTTTTTCCTGGCTCCTAACAGTAGCTTTGACTGACTTGTCTTCTTTTCAGGAGTTGGGCTGTTCCTACACAGATGTTGCTGCTCAGGATGGTGAGGCCATACTCCGAGCAATCTTGGCCTCTCCACAGTCTGACCGATGCAAGCGAGCCCAAGCCTTCATCAGCACTCAGGGCCTGGAGCCAGAAAGGGTGGCTGACCTTGTGGCCGAAGAGGTGACCCGGGAGCTACTGTCACCATCAGAGGGAGCAGGTACCCTCCCTTCAGGCTTCCTCAGCCTTTCAGACAACTTACACAAGTATCTAGTGTTATGGATTTGGATGTGATGCTCATATGTCCTGCATGTTGCCCTCTCAAGTTGCCAGGTTGCAGTCAGAAGAGGAAAATACATTGCGTTTATTTTGTTGTAATCGCTTTTTGTTCATTGTTTTACAATTATGCTTTGGGTAGCTGTGCCTTCCTCTGAGCTAATGAACTCCTGCTGTTGTGTCAGCTGACCACTAGGCCAAGAGAAGAGCTGCACTGGGAACTCTTTCAGCATTACTTCCTGGTGCCCAGGCCAGGGCAGCATGGGGCTCTTATCTTTCTCTCAACTGTCTCCAGGTAAACCAGTGCCTTTCCCCATGTCTTTCTGTACAGGACAGAAGCAGATGGTCACCCCAGCAGAAGAAAGCCAGGCATTTCTTCAGCTAACCACTTTGTGTCAAGACCGCACCTTGGTAGGCATGAAGTTGTTGGAAAAGATTTCCTCCGTTCCCCATGGGGAATTGTCCTGCAGTAAGTTCTTGGCCATTTTCTCACATTTTGGGCCCAAGCAGGTCTTCAAGAAGTCTTTTAGAGCTAGTCTTTCCAAAACTCAATTTGGATCCCTCCTGCTCTCACCCCTACTCCTCCAAAATAGTTTATAAGTTCTTGGGAGAAAGCCATAAGTTCATTAAAGAAAGTTTAGAGGATATGTATGGAAAAGCAGCCCCAAATTTAAAATCACACAAAAAGGTAAACCTTTAACATTTGGCATATTTATCTTATTTCACTCTTAAATTACCTTATAAAGTGGATATTATTGTCCCCACTTTAGGAGACTGAAGCTTAGAGAAGTTGATTAACTATTAAATGGCAGAACTGGAATTTGAACCCAGTCTGTGATTTAAAAGCTCACTCACTTTCCACAATGTCTAGTTCATTGCAGGCATTCAGAAATGTGTGTCCCTCTGATCTTTTTCTATGCAAATCAATAGGCTTTTATTTTTCAAAAATTAGTTTTGCGTATTGTTTATAATTTATGAATATGCTGACATTAACATCTTTCCATTGAGTATTCTCCTATATCATTTTTTAAAACATTGATTTTTTTAAATTTATTTCTTGTTGTGAATCCCCTTCTGAGGATATCCTATATCATATTTAATGGTTACACAGTATTTCTCTTATATGTAATTAAAAATTGTAGACCCTGCCCCAGATGTGCTCAGTGATTGAAGATCAACCTATGAACCAGGAGGTCACGGTTCAATTTCTGGTCAGGGCACGTGCCTGGGTTGCAGGCTTGATCCCAAGTAGGGGTGTGCAGGAGGCAGCCAATCAATATTTGTCTCTCATCAATGTTTCTCTTTCCCTCTCCCTTCCTCTCTCTAAAATCAATTTTTTAAAACATTGTAGACCCTATTGTGGGACTTTATATTATTTCCAATTTTCTGCTGTCTTTTTTTTTTTTTTTTAGGATGTGCAGAGGCACAGAACAGGCTGGCACCAGGGTGTGCTTTTTTTTTTTAATTAAATCTTTATTCAGATTATTACAGTTGTTCCTTTTTCCCCCCCGGTTCCCACCCCACACCTCTGCCCTTACCCCCCAGCCCCACCGTCCTCATCCATAGGTGTATGATTTTTGTCCAGTCTCTTCCCGCACCCCTCACACCCCTTCCCCCTGAGAATTGTCAGTCCACTCCCTTTCTATGCCCCTGATTCTATTATATTCACCAGTTTATTCTGTTCATCAAATTATTTATTCACTTGATTTTTAGATTCACTTGTTGATAGATATGTATATGTTGTCACTTTGTTGTTCATAATTTTTTTATCTTTACCTTTTTCTTCCTCTTCTTAAAGGATACCTTTCAGCATTTCATATAATACTGGTTTGGTGGTGATGAACTCCTTTAGCTTTTTCTTATCTGTGAAGCTCTTTATCTGACCTTCAATTCTGAATGACAGCTTTGCTGGATAAAGAAATCTTTGTTGTAGGTTCTTGCTATTCATCACTTTGAATATTTCTTGCCACTCCCTTCTGGCCTGCATAGTTTCTGTTGAGAAATCAGCTGACAGTCGTATGGGTACTCCCTTGTAGGTAACTGATTCTCTTTCTCTTGCTGCTTTTAGGATTCTCTCTTTGTCTTTTGCTCTTGGCATTTTAATTATGATGTGCCTTGGTGTGGTCCTCTTTGGATTCCTTTTGTTTGGGGTTCTCTGTGCTTCCTGGACTTGTAAGTCTATTTCTTTCACCAGGTAGGGGAAGTTTTCTGTCATTATTTCTTCAAATAGGTTTTCAATATCTTGCTCTCTCTCTTCTTCTGGCACCCCTATAATTCGGATGTTGGTACGCTTGAAGTTGTCCCAAAGGCTTCTTACACTATCTTCATATTTTTGGATTCTTTTTTCTTTTTCCAGTTGGGCGTTTTTTGCTTCTTCATATTTCAAATCTTTGACTTGATTCTTGGGATCCTCTAGTCTGCTGTTGGGTCTCTGTATAATATTTTTTATTTCAGTCAGTGTATGCTTAATTTCTAGTTGTTCCTTGTTCATATCCTCGAGGGTCTCACTAAATTTATCGGCGGTTTCTAGAAAATTCTTGAAAAACCTTAGTACCGTGGTCTTGAACTCTATATCCAGCAGTTTGCTTTCCTCCATTGCTGTCATTTGTGACCTGTTTCTTTGTCTCCGCATTTTGGCTGCTTCCCTGTGTTGGTAGAGTGGCTTTCTGTACTAGGTGTCCTCTAGGGCCCAGTGGCTCAGCCTCCCCTATTACCTGAGGTGGACACTCTTGGCACACCCCTTTGTGGGCTTTGTGCACAGTCTTGTTGTAGTTAAGCCTTGATTGTTGTAGGTATCACTGGGAGGAATTGACCTCCAGGCCAGTTGGCTGAGAATCAGCTGTGGTTATGGTGGGAGAACTTCTGTGCTGGAGACACCCTTCTGGGGCAAGACTTGCTTCAGTGGGGTTTTGGTGCTCACTGAGTCTGCCCCCTGAGTGTGTCCCTTATGGATCT